GACCTCACGGCAGCTGCAAGGGGCCAGTCAGTGAAGACCCTAGGAGAACACAGGGCCCTCACGCCACACTCAAGACCAAGGGCTTCCTCTTCTATGAACAGGAAGGCACCAGGGACACATCTCAGCTGGCACGTGAAATCAGAGTTTCTTTCTGAAGGAACCAAGGTAAATCAGAAATGAGGCCCACTTTCCGTTTTACTAGCTTGCAGCGAGATAAAAATGGTGTCCTCTCAACTCTTCTGAAATGTGAATGCTAGGGTCACTCGGCCACGCCCCCTCACCCTCAGCCCCATGCCCTGCCCCAGCCCATCAGGACCACACCGGCCGGCCCTCCTGGCGACTCCTGGGTCTGGGGAAAGCCGTCGTCCTCGAGCACTGGCTTACCAGCCTCCTCTCCGGCCTCTCTCGCCTGCCCTGGGCCTCCCCCTTTGCCACCGCACACCAGGGCAAGCGCACTCCCACCACTGCCCCCGATCCGCACCACTTCTCAGACTCGAGCCCACACACAAGGGGCTGGAGTCCTCACACAGTCACTGAAGGGCTGACAGCCACTCGGGCACTGTTCTAGGCGCTGCGGGCCTGACAGGAGTCAGAGGCAAAAGGAGAAACAGCCCCGCTGTCGCAGGCCTCCTGACGCAGCCAGGCGCACAGACACACAAGGAAAGCATCCGGAGTGTCGGAGGGGCCAAGCGAGACAAAGGCAGCGGAGGCAGACGGGCAGGGCCAGACGGCAGAAGGGCATCATAGACCAGGGGTCAAGGGCGCTGCCTGAGAAGGGAGGTCTAAGCGAAGACTTACAGGCAGGTGAAGAGCCAGCCAGGCAGCGATCCGAGCTGAAGGAACTGCAGATGCAGGGGCCGGGGCCAAGCGTGGCTGCAGCGCTTAAGACAGGCCAGAGGCCAGTGCGGCTGGAACAGAGGGAGGGCAGACCAGGCGGAGGCCGGTGCAGCACCAAGCACTCAAGAGACACTCCTGAGGGCTCCCAAGGCAGGCAGGGAGCCTGGGGTCACTTTCTAGGAGTGAGGTGCACGATGAGAGCGGAACGAGAAGGAATGCAGAGGAAAGCCAGCGGTGCCCACACAGACACTGGAGTGCGTCTATGTGGGTGTAGGGAGGTCACAGGGGAAAGCAGGGGCAAGACTGACCGAGCAAAGGCCCAGGGAAAAGCTCAGCCACAACAGAGGGCTGAAGAGACCAGGAGAGATCAAAATAAGAAGTGCAACGAGGGAGCTCCCACCGCCATCCAGGGGTTAGGACTGCAGTCTCACACTGCCCAGGACCCAGGTTCAACTCCCGGCTGGGGAATGGAGATCCCACAAGTTGCACAGCACAGCAAAAAAAAAAAAAGTGCAGTGAGAGATTGGTCTTGAACCCCAAAGGGCCCTGAGATCCCTGAAAAGTGGGCTTTCACAGGACCACACGCACATTTTAGAAAGACAAGCAGAGCATGGAGAGCTGACTGACGGGAGGAAAGCTGGAGTCAGAAACACCCTTCCTGACCTGTCAGCCTCCGTAACACAACAGCAAACACAGTGAAAAAGTAATTAAACTGTGAAACACTGCTGATAGAAACATACCCTTAACAGCATAACAGACTTATTTCATACCATTGATTCTTTATGTGACAACCCAGTTAACTTAAAAATTGAGCTCCCAACTCCTTCCAGGAAGACAAAACATTCTTTTCTCCACACCCAACAGGGAAGTTTCGCCACTAGGGCTGTTGGGCAGCAGGCTGGCACTCAGCTAACCAGCACTTAGCAGTTTCCATCCTTGTATATCTTATTGAAACTATTAAGTATTACAGACATTAAGGCACTCTGAAAAATTCATCTTTGGCCCTTTGCTTCCTGGAAGACAGACTCAAGAACAATACTAATTTGAGATATCTTGAGTTTTTTAACTGGCAAAAGCAAATCTCATCAAACCAATCAGGTCCTTCAAAAGCTATACTGTGACCAACAGACAAGTGCAAAGTGCTGACCGGTCGCCAGGGCAACGCATTTGAGTCTTTTCGTCCCCAAAGTGCTTACCCTAAATAACAATTCCTAAAATCAAAATTAGCAAATCACATAAAGACAGCCTGCAAAGTATAAACATAATCCTCTGGAACTTCCATGTTACCTCCTGCTTCTGTATATTTTATATTTTTACTTTCCCCAGGGGCAGGGAGAGAGGTACAGTAGGAACATCACTGCTCGATTCATCCTGGTGGTACATACAGGTCTATTCTGTTACTTGTTGTACTTATATGCTTGCAATATTTCATAGTTAAGTTTTATTTAACATTTGAGTTAGCTACAAAGGCAAAAGGAAAAGAAAGGAAACAGGCCTTCCTGGCAAACAGTGTCTTGGCTCCCCAATTAAAGTAGGGAGACCTTAGGCCAGCCCCTGACTTTCCATATTCAGTTTCTTCCAGAAGGTCCCTTTCTGCTTCACCATGACTTACAAAAAAAGAGAAGCAAACAGGCCATATGCTGGCATTAAAACAGGTTGTTTGTCCCAAGTCATAAGCCTATTTACTCAGCACTCACTGAGTGCCTGCCATGGGAAGGCATGGGCAGAGGCCAGTTCACCCAAGACGGTAAGAATCCCACCTCCAAGAGCTCACCCAACAGGGAAAAAGGTCACAGAAGGCCACCAAAGGGCTAGGTCCTCCGTGTTCAGAACGGGAGGACAGGGTTCCCAGGGTTAGGGACCTACCTGCCAGCACAGGGGTACAGGTCTGACCCCGGGTCGGGGCAACCCCACAGGCCTTGGAGAAGGTGCGTGCCCAGCTGCCAAAGCCTGAGCACGTGGAGCCCGTGCTCCGCAATAAGAGCAGCCCCTGCGCGCTGCAACCAGAGAAAGCCCGAACAGCAGCAAGGGAGGCAGCACAGCCAAAAACAAAAATAAATTTAAATAAATGATAAAAAAATTTAAAGGAAAGACAAGCAGTGGTCCACACACAACAACAGTCCACGCAGAGGCCTGGCTCAGGACAGGGCACCACATATTTGAGGGACAAGGACCCATTTACTGCAGCCGGGCAAAGACGAGAGTGAAGCTTAGAAGACCAAGAGGCTCATCCAAAACTGCATACATTCTACAGCCAAGCATTATATCCAAACAAAAACAAAAATCAACCAACCAAAAACCATACACCAGAAAATGAAGTAAAAAGCTTAATAACTTCAACTCCCACTGATTAAATGTTTACTCAGAATTCAATTGTTTACTGAGAAAGGTTATTTGTCTAGATTAAAAATGGCAGGAGAATATAAATTTGGAACTTTAGCATCACCTTAGCACATGCTTTTGGGTGTGCTCAACGACAACCCCAATCTCATATAGCAACATTTTATTAGTGTTTTCTATCCCCTCCTCAGCAATTCTTAGTAAATATAACTTCACCTACTTTTACCCATTTTACACTGAAGCGTCAAGCCATAAAAAAGGAAGTAACTAGTTAGTTTACATTCTGCCATATGAGTAAGCCTTTTAAAATTGGACTACTTGTAGGGGCTTCCCTGGTGGCTCAGAGGTACAGAATTTGCCTGCCAAACCAGGAGACATGGGTCCCACCCCTGATCTGGGCAGACCCCACATGCTGCGGAGCGACTGCGCCCGGGTGCCACAGTGAGCGAGCCCATGTTCCCGGGCCTGTGCTGCACAAGCGGAGCCACTTCAATGAGCAGCCCCCACTCTCCACAACTAGACGAGAGTCTGCGCAGCAGCAAGGACCCAGCACGCCCAAAAGTAAATAATTTTTTTTAAATCGGACTACTTGCAGGAGGAGAGGTCATTTGAATAGGTGGCAGGCTTGGCCCACTCTTCCATAAGTCCCAAGATCTTTAATTTCTAACGTGTAAGTCTTGCAATTCTGACTTATTCCTCATTTGATTCCTCACATTTAAGCAGGTACCATTTTAACAGCCCTGTTTAAATCGTCTGAATAAAAACCATAAACCTAGTAGTCATACATGGTAGCCTGTTTAACTTTTTTTTTAACTTATTGTTTTGTCCTGTTGTGTCTCCATAAATTTCAAATTATGTTAGTTTAGACATAACATATATCATAAATGTGCACACAGAATAATAAACTGCCCATCATTTTTTTTTGGTAGTGCCACACAGCATGTGGGATCTTAGTTCCCTGACCAGGGATCAAACCCATGGCCCTGCACTGGAAACAAGGAGTCTTAACCACTGGACCACCGGGGAGTATCAAGCCCATCACTTTTTGAAATTCAGAAAGTTATTTTCCTGATACTTTTAAATCGGAATGTTCACCACTGGAATCCCAGTCCAGCCTGATCTGCAGTAACGCCGTCAGGGGGCGAGGATTTTTGTATTATATAGATCAGAGTTCTTAAAAAAAAAAAAAAAAAGCTTACAGAAACTCACAAACGTGCAGAAAGTACTCACTTTACCAACCACTGGCCCAAAACTGAAGGCTGCTGAGCGTCTGAGAAAATGGAAGAAAAGAAAAGGAAATGACTCAAAGTAATCGTGCTTAAGGCATGAGTCCTCTTCACTTCCAGGCAGCAGTTTAGATTTGAACTCCGGTCGGCGGTGGGGCGCCGGAGCACGCACGGAGCACACCGGCAAAGAGCTGCGCTCCCACGACTTGTTTCCTCCGAGCTACTGGTTGGAGTTGTGCTTTTTCATGTTGCTCTGGTCACACTTACACATGTAACGAGGACATGGAAAACATTTGGGAAAATGAAAGCGCTGCATAAATGAGATGGTTCCTAACTTATCTTCCATGTCGACCATCTCATTTTAAAATACATAAAATGAGGATCGAGGTTATCAACGCGCAGTGGCAACGTTAAGTTTTTAAGTCGTTGGGCCATTAGGGTACACGTATCTTGGCGTTTAAGTCATTTAAAAGTCAAGGCCTTAGAGTGCGGGGTTGTCAGTCCTCAAGAACTTCCCTAACCTCGCTCTGAAGTCCCTCGAACCGAGCGGGTCCCCGTTTCTGGGACGCGCGCACACGCGCCCCGAGCCCTCCTCACCTGCCTAAGAAGCACTAACTTGTCAAGCCTGTGACCGCTCACGTCCCGGCACCGGCGCGGACACCGGGGAGAGCAGACGACCGCGGCACCGGCTCCTGTGCCCTCTGCCCGGGCTCGAGACCCGCGTGTCTTAAATGCCGAGATTTTTTTTAACTGCCCTCTGGCGAGCGGGGCAGAGCCTGCCAGGCGGCCCCGGCTGCTCCGCCGCGCGCGCCCCCGGGGCCCCAGGGGGGAACCACCGTCCGGCCGACCGCGGGCGGCCGAGGGCC